AAGAAGGTATATTTGTTTGTAACTCCTTTTTTTCCTCCTGATTTAAAAGACACGACACAGGGCGCCTGGATGGCTCAGTTGGTTAAGCGACTGCCTTCGGCTCAGGTCACGATCCTGGAGTCCCAGAATGAAGTCCCGCATCCGGCTCCTGCTTCTCCCTCTGACCCTCGGCCCTCTCCTGTGCTCTCTCTCTCAAATAAATAAATCTTAAAAAAAAAAAAAAAAAAAGACACAACACAGAGCAGTAATTCTAAATCTGGTGATGGGCGCACAATGTACAAAGATGTCACTTGGACCACGACATAAGCAGGGGGAGAGGAAAGCTGGCTGGGAGTAAGCTGGATGTGTATCTTATTACCAGACAAAACTGAAGGGACAAATGGTTCAACAATAATAGATGGAGCACTCAGTATTCTGCACCTCAATAATGGACTAAACAACTAGAGAGAAGATGAATGAGGCAACAGAAGACTGAAGCAACACTATCCACCAACCAGACCTTAACAAACACCTCCAGACCTCTACCCGACAGCAGCCAAATATGCATTTTTCTTCAGTGCACAAAGAACATTCTCCAGTACAGACCATATGCCAGGCCACAAAACAAATCTTGATACATTTTAAAAGATCATACAAAGTATGTTCACGAAGTAAATGGCATGAAATGAGAAATCAATGAACAGAAGGAAATTTAGAAAGTTGACAAATATGTGGCACCTAAACAACACCCTCTTAAACAACCAATGGTCTAAAAAGAAATCACAAGGGAAATTAGAAAATACTTTGAGACGATGCAAACAAAACGCAACATACCAAACCTACAGGATGCCGTGAGAGCAGGGCTGGGAGGTAAATTTAAAGCTATGACTACATTGAAAAAGAAGAAAGATCTCAAGGCAATAACCTAACTTTCCCCCTGAAGGAACTAGATGAACAAACTAAATGCAAAACAAGCAGAAGGAAAGAGAGAAGAGAGTGGAGATAAATAAAAATACAGAATCCATGAAACTACAAGTTGGTTCTTTGAAAACAAAATGGATACAAACAAAACTGATAAACCTTTCGCCGCACCTTCCCTCCTCAACTTTTGTTCCTAGCACTGAAGACACTGCACTTGTCTCATCCAAGGGCCACGGCCATTCACAACTTACTTGAATTCCTGGCGGCATCAGACACACCCAAGCACCCCCTTCTTTACTGGGCTCTCCTGCCCACTCTCTTGGTTTTCGTCCCTTGGTGCCAAACCATTTCTAGCTCCTTTGCTGGCTCTCTCCTTCTGTTCTCTACTGTCGGAAACTAAGAGCTCTGTCCAGGTTCTCTATCAACAAACTTTTCTTATTTGGCCACAGCTCATGGCTTTGTTGTTGTTGTTCACTGTTTATTGACTGCCTCCCCCAAGAACGTATATGCACCTGGAGAGTAGGATAGGACTTTGACCCCTTACAGCAAATTCATTACAGATGCCCTTAAATAGAACAAATGTTAACAGTTTGTACATTTTGCCCCCAGGATTTCTCCCAGCTGCCCCGATTTCTTTTATGCATGTGCACACACAGACACACAAGACATGTTACATGGTTTGTTTGGTTTTTTTAAAAACACATACCTCAACATCGATATTTGAATGAATGACTTGGGCTAAATCTAAATGACTTGGGCAAAGAAGGTGAATTCTACTCCTGCTGGTTACTCCAATGTGTTAGCAAAAACTGAAAATGATTCTTAAATATTAGGTTAAAGATAATAACGTGCCATCTGGGGCTCAAGTAGTGGGATAATAAATTTGGCACATATTATATTCAACTCTGTACTCTGATGGGAATTTTTTTTTTTAAGATTTTATTTATTTATTTGACAGAGACACAGCGAGAGAGGGAACGCAAGCTGGGAGAGTGGGAGAGGGAGAAGCAGGCTTCCCGCTGAGCAGGGAGCCCGACGCGGGGCTTGATCCCAGGATCCTGGGATCATGATCTGAGCCGAAGGCAGATGCTTAACGACTGAGCCACCCAGGCGTCCCCTGATGGGAATTTTAAACCTGAAAACAAGTCCTTTTTCATACTGCAGTTGGAAAAACTGGCTATCCAAAAATGGGTTTTTGTTATTTTTATGTGACTTAGGGAATAAAGGGGAAGAGGAATATTAATGGGTGGATTTTATTCAGGATTATTGCCATTTTTTCCAAACCGCTCTGACTCTTGCAACATCATGCTACAGGCTTTTAAGGATAATGAACTTTACTCATTTTTCTCTCCTAAGGCCACCTCTTAGCTACATCTGCTGTATCTGGTGGCCTCACACTTGGTAAGGTCTCTGGAGAAACAGCACCATCTGCTGGGCAAAGACTGCTGTGCACCCATCTCAGCAAATCGCCAGCTGCTCTCAATCTTTACCTTTCCTTGTGCAACTCCAAACTGGACATCAGTTCAGGTTAGCAACTAAGGCTTGTCTTCCAGAAGGCCAAACAGGAAGCCCTCCTACTCCAGAAATGCTGATAAGATCAGAGAAACTCCTTTGTCTGAGGCTCCCCTTCTAAGAAATCAATTTGGGTTTTGGGGGCGCTTGGTTGGTTCAGTTGGTAGGGCTCACGACTCTTGATGTTGGGGGTTGTGAGTTTGAGCCCCATATTGACTGCAGAAATTACTTAAAAATAAAACCTTTAAGGCACCTGGGTGGCTCATTTGGTTAAGCATCTGCCTTCGCTCAGGTCATGATCCCAGGGTCAGGCTCCCTGCTCAGCGGGGAACCTGCTTGTCCTTCTCCCTCTCCCTCTGCCCCTCCCCACCCCCACCCCCCGTGTGTCTGTTGTGTGTTGCGTGTGTGTGTGTGCGCACGCAGCTCTCTCTCATAAAAAAAAAAAAAAAAAAAAAAAATCTTTCAAAAAAAAGAAAAACTTTAAGAAATCAACTTGGGTTTTGATCCAAGATTGGAAATCAGTGCCATTGTAAGAAAGCACAACTGAGGTAGATTAACAAACAGGAATAAAAAAGGCCACAGTTTTAAGAAGCCTTTCTTCCCTATATTCTCTGCAAACAAAATGCTGAGAAAATTTAATGCCTTTGATCTCTTTTTGGAAATTCCAGAGGGTGAGATTTTTTTCCTCCTTCCCTTACTAAGAACCATGCATTTTTCTCCATTTACCACCTAGCTCACTACTTGCTTTCTAGGCATTTTTCCTTCCTCTTGACCAATCTATACCTCAAGTTCTTCCTAAGATCCTTTTCTATAACATTTAATTGTGAATGAGTTTCTTAGGGTCTAAGAAATATTCAACTTCTTTTTCCCTTCCTTTCACCTCCCACTTTGACAAACTGAAATTTGATATTGGAACGTTTTCTTTATTCCTGAATCTATTCTCAATTACTTAAAATAAATTAGTCTTGGGATGCCCGGTCTGTCTCTTGATTTTGGCTCAGGTCTGATCTCAGGATCGTGAGATCGAGCCCCCATTGGGCTCGGAGCTCAGGGGATAGATTCTCTCTCTCCCTCTCCCCCTCCCCCCCTTCTCTCTCTTTCCCTCTCAATAAGTAAATAAATGTTTTTCTGTTACCCTTTTCATCATGGACAGGAAATGCCTCTTGCTGTAGACTGAATTTCTGTGTCCCCCTCGAAATCCATATGTCGAAATCTAACCCCCAAGGTGATGGTATTTGGAGGTGGGGCCTTTGGTGGAACCCTCATAAATGGGATTAGTGCTATATATATGTATATGTGTGTGTGTATACACACACACACACACACACATACATATATATTTTTTAAATGTGATCTCTATGCCCAACATGGGGCTCAAACCCAGGACCCCAAGATCAAGAGTCGCATGCTCTACCAACTGAGCCAGTCAAGCACCCCGGATTAGTGCCCTTATAAAAGTAGCCCAAAGAACGCTCCTTCGCCCCTTCCACTATGTGAGGTTATAGAAAGAAGACTTTGGTCTGTGAGGAAATGGGCTCTCACCAGACAGTGAATTTGCCAGCACCATGATCTCAGACTTCCCAGCCTCCAGAACCATGAGAAATAAAATTTTGTTGTTTATAAGCCACCCAGGTCTCTGGGATTTTGTGAGAGCGGCCCAAACAGACTATAACAACACCTCTACCTCAATTCTCTTTGGGCCACATACTGAGCACCCTCCTTTTTCTTTAATTCCTTCCTCCCTTTTCTTTTTTCTTTTTTTTTAGGTAGGCTCCAGCGTGGAGCCCAATGTGGGGCTCAATCTCACAACCTTGAGTGAGATCATGGCGTGAGCCGAAACCAAGAGTCGGAAGCTTAGTTGACTGAGCCACCCAGGCACCCCTAATTCCTTTCTAATCTAGGCTCTGGCGCATAATTTTCTCTCATTTATTCCTTACTTTTCCTATTACTCCTTTGTTGGCATTAAGAGACACCTTTCCTATCATCTTCTCATTAGCTTTTTCGAAAATCGTAAGAAGTTCATCACTTTATTGCCATTTATGGCTTTATCATTTACAAATCACCACCATTTCCAAGATTTACTTAAACTCATTTCCCTTTTACTATCCTTCTACATTTTCATAGTCCTCAGACTTCTTAATTAGTTACTAGGAGATAAGAATTATCAACATAAAGTCTTTTATATTCCTTGTCCTCTCAAATTTGCAAAACTTTTTTGTATTCAAGGCATCCCCGAAATTATTCCTCCAGGATTCATTACAGCTTTTCTTGATTAAGGAAACATGCCTCCTTCAAACGTTATTTTATGTATCTCAAATGTAAGATTCTCAAAAATCGAAGAAACCCCACTCATAACAGGAATGCTTACTATCCATATGAAATAATAACCAATGAGATCATATATGTATATATAACTCAAATAATAGTCAATAATTTTCCACTGGCATTGCATTAAAACACACACACACACACATACACAAGATTAAGGCAAAAACTAAAATTAAGTTCTTATCTCCTCAGTCTCTCTTCAGTTTGTCTTTTGCTTATGGCAATAGGTGGTATGGCTCAGGAACCTACATAAAACTGAGTGGAGAAGAAAATGTTTTTATTAATCACAACATGAAACTGACATGACATCCCATTAGGACTGAACCAGGATAAATAATGCTGTTATAAAATTTACACTCTTCACATCCATTTCAGAGGCAAATATTACATTATTGGGGCTCTTCTAGAAGGGTCTTATGGAATGATTTCAGTAAACCTTTTGTTTTTAGTAAATAGCAACCTATATTCTCAAACTGCTAAAAAGTAGTTAGAAAGGCAACTATAAAATCCATAATGATACCAACTGGCAGGATTAGGACTACTCTGTTAGACAGTAAGTTTTAGCTGTTGTATCAATGCACCGTTTTCACTGGTAAGGCAACCGCTTGCTGGGGGTGCCACAGTGATTAGCTCAAGTTTCTTCAGTAAGAGATGCTTGCTTCATCAAGATTCAAATGAGTTTCCTCTCCCCATTTTGCTCTTTTGGAGCAGAAACAAATGGCTCTGTCTTTTGTACGAGGGAGGCTAATATTTTGAAACTCAGCTGTCACAATCTTCTAACTCATAATTTAAAAGGGGAATGAATTATTATTGGGAATAAGTCTGTGAAATACTTCCAGTTTTTAAAATAACAAGGCTTCTGAATAACTTCTCGGACCTACCTTCCCATGTCGGTAACATGACTTGATGAACATAACACGTGTAATCTGCACTGTGGTAATTCTTCTATCAGCTACATTGCGCCCCCCGTAAGGGTTAGAGCTGTGGTTTCAAACAATTTCTACATCGAAAGCATCTTTAAATAAGTTTCCTTTTCACTGAACGGAGATTTTTTTTTTTTTCCACTTATGTGCCCGTGGAAGGCAATTTAAACATACACATATATACACCTGCATACCTATGTGTGTGTATATATGGCTTTTGAAGTCAGTTACTTTCACCATCAGAATAAAACTAGACTACAGGGAGAAGTCTGCGAGGCCAGGCTGGTGCTCCTTACACCTCCTGCTCTACGCTGAGGAGGGCAGGTACAGTTCGCTGAAGGACGTGATGAGGCTGTAGTAAGTCTTCTCATCGTCTGTCAGCCCCGCGTTGCCAGGTCTCACCACCACAGCGACGTGCACATCCGCTTCCTCGGCAGCGCTGGCCTCTATGAGAATCAAAGTACATGTCAGAACCATCAACAGGTGACATCTGAGATTTGCTTCAAAGTAATCAGGGGCATGTGGGGGAGGAAGAAACAAGTCGGGCTCCTATTTGATCATTGTTGAAACTAGAAGATGGGCATACTGGGGGGGGGGGGGGCGGTCTGAGCCCATTACTCTTTCTTTTATGTAACTGTAATACTTCCATAATAAAAAATATTTAAAAATACATGACTGTACCTGGCAGACTAGAATGGGCTAGACGTCCCTGTCCTGGTGTATAGTGAAGAACGTATCCTAGACGTCTGCACTTTTATTAAGTAGTTATGAATGCAGAAGCAAAGAGCCATGTTCTGGCCATGACTTTCCTCCATTCCCTCTCATCAGTCCCACAGAAAACTGAGTGTTTCCCAAAAGTCAGGCTGTCAGTAATAATACCAGTCAGGGAGAGATGGGACAAATGGAAGCCCAAGATCCAATCAGGCCAAAATTCTGGCTGTCACATCAGGAGCCCAAATATGTCCTACTCCCTGGCCAGCCTGCCCATCGTTTTTGCCTGGCAAATTTCTACTCTTCAAAATTCAGCTCAAATATCTTACCTTCCAGAATGACTGCCATGTGGATTAGAGCATCCCATGTGCTCCTTTAGCGCTTTGTGTTTAGCTCTATCACCACTCTATGAACGGACACGTTATTACCTGTTGTCTCTCTTCTCATTAGACTGTGAGTGCCTTAAGATCAGTGACTGCATGGGGCGCCTGGGTGGCTCAGTTGGTTAAGCGACTGCCTTCGGCTCAGGTCATGATCCTAGAGTCCCAGGATCAAGTCCCGCATCAGGCTCCCTGCTCAGCGGGGAGTCTGCTTCTCCCGTCACCCTCCCCCTTCTCATGCTCTCTCTCTATCTCATTCTCTCTCTCAAATAAATAAAATCTTTAAAAAAAATAAATAAATTAAAAAAAAAAAAAAAGATCAGTGACTGCATGGTGGGTAAAAGAAAAATAGGACTAGTACAGTAAAACTAGGTAAGCCAGGTAGAGCAGGGGATATCTCTACTATGCCTTGGGCTACATTCCTCTCTCCACTCTGCGTCCATGTGAAAGGTAACAGCTAATGCCTTATATTAGTTTAGCACATACAATGTACCAGGTACTCTTCTAGGAACAGACATATATGAACAAAACAAAGCTCCTGCCTTCGTGGAGCTCCCATTCTCATCTAAATCTTCACAACAAGGTACTACTGAGGTAGTTAGTATTACCATCCCCATTTTAGAGACATGGAAAGTGAGAGCTAGTGAGCGATAGAGCTAAAGTTTGGGAAAGTGTGAGCCCGACTCTCTGGTCTGTGCTCTAGAACAAGGGCGAGCAAATGATGACCTGACACGTGCTTTTGTAAATAAAGTTTTATGAGAACACAGTCATGCCCATTCATCTGTGTATTGTCTATGGCTGCTTTTCCACTACCAGGACAGAGTTTAAGAGTTGTGACAGAGACTGTAGGGCCTGCAGAGCCTAAAATACACTACCTGGCCCTCTGCAGAACGAGCTTGCCAACCCTGCTCTAGAGCAATACTATTCCAAATGTGACCTGTGGACCTGTAGCAGGGGAAGCACCTGCAAGCTTATTAGAAATGCAGAATCTCTGGGGCGCCTGGGTGGCTCAGTCCGTTAAGCATCCGACTCTTGATTTCGGCTCGGGTCATGATCTCAGGGTCGTAGGATCAAGCCCTGCATCAGGCTCCGCACTCAGCGGGGAGTCAGCTGGAGATTCTCTTTCTCCCTCTGCCCCTCCCCCGACTCGCTCACTCTCTAAATGAATAAAATCTTTTTAAAAAATAAAAAAAAAGAAAAGAAAAGAAAAGAAATGCAGAATCTCAACTCCCGAACATGGAACTACTGAATTAGGATCTGCAATTTAACACATGACTTCTCAGCACAGAAGGTAAGTTTTGATCAGAAGTTTCGAGGAAAAAAAACTGCCAAGAGAGGAGGCATCCTGGGCAGACATAAAATACACGTATAAATATCGGAAGAATGGAGCGAAGGTGTGGGAGACAGGACATGGGTCAGGTGGGGCATATTTGAACAGACGGAGCAAAACTGGCAAAGAATCTGAACCATGTTCCATGCAGTTTATATCTGGTGTAATAAGAAACCTCAGTGGTTTCCTAACCTTTGGAAAACAGTCACACCATCCGAACGGGTTAAAGGGCAGTAGTGCTGAAAGAGATGAGAAGTTCCCAGAGAGAGTAAGTGGGGCAGAGCTCTCTCTTCCGTCGACCCACCTCAAGTGTCTAGCTTCTCTTCCTGTGAAAGGGCTGTCAGCTTCCCAGAGCAAACAAAGTGCTAAACCATCCCCTCTTCATGTGGAAATCCCTTCCTCCAGGTAAACTCTGCAGGGGTCATTCTACTCATCCCTAGTCCTCAGCCTGACTGCCTCAAGCACAGCTCTCCTCTTGGCTAGCAACCCACGATCCCAACTGAGTTTAGCCATCATGATGCACGTGGGACCTGATACTAGCTAGTGGCTGTTGCACATTCACCCTCTTACCCAGACCACCACCAGGCAAGTGTTGTCCCTAAGCATCTATTTGCCTTGCTGGCATAAAACTGACTTAAAACCCTGGACCGCCCTCTTTTCCTCCAAGAGGAGAAGTCTTTTGGGTCTCTCTTTCATACTTGGATGTTATCTGGGATATCAACTTAGTCTTCCATTCTGCCTTGGCAATGGAGTCTGGGCATGTGGTACCAAAAACACAGGATCAGAAATAATAGAAAAGAACAAGGCAAGCAGCCAGCTGCCTGGCCCCATCCCAGCTACACATGAGCCCAGTTCTGGCCCCACTGCCTAAATGGGTGTGGAATTGGCAAATGATGAGGGACAAGAACAAAACCTCTGTGCAGAGACCTTGGAGAAAGCCAATTTTGTTTTGAGGCCAATTTGGGGATTATCTCTATTCGCTAAAGTTAAGAATAGTTTCTGGGACTGCAGCCCAAGGAAATGGCTTAAAAGAGAAAGACATAAAATTACAGATGTACTATGATAACAACTAGAAAAGAAAATGTGGCTAAAGACAAGAATATGAAGAACCTGTAGGTGATTTTACTAGAGCAGGGATTATAATTATTAATGGTAGCCAAAAAGTGAGGAATGGGGAGAAGATCTGGGGATCACAACACATTCAATCCCAGAATACTCGGGACAGGTTGACTACATGGGGAGCTCCAGCCACAAAGCAGTTCTCTAATTCTAAGCCTGCAGAAACTTACCATCCGAAGTGCTAGGAGATTAAACAGAGGGCAAACCATGGATCTGCCTCTCCAACAGCCCCTTTCATATGAATGATGACAGAAAAGCAATTCACAGATTAAAGCAGCTAACCTCAGGAGAGCAAGGCCTATCTCCTTTCCATAAGGAACAAAACAAAGTAAAAGGTCTTCAAATTATCCTTCCACACAGGGACTGCTGTGTTTCACACCCTAAACCTATGGAGACAGTAAAGCAACCTCCTCACCCCACTACTCTAAGCCCCCAAAAGCCATTCACAAGGGAGGGTATATCATAGCTTTGAATTGGCTAAAGTTTCTACAGAGAAATAAGATAGGCAAATATTTACAGTCCAGGGTAGAGGCCAGGTGAAATGGCTTTGTCAAGGCTGATGCTCACTGATGGTACATTTATGGCCTGGCTACCTAGTTACACAGGGAACCCTGAAGCAGTGTGTCTGTGCCGTCTGTCTGTCTGTTCCTCTCCTTCAGTGTGGTCCGAAAGTAAATGTAAAGTTCTCCAGGATGCAGAAAACCGAGACAACAGTTTTGTAGAAACCCTTGGACTCTGAAGCTGACCCAAGCCAGGACATCTAAGACATGCAATCTGCTGAGTTTTCAAAACTCAAGATAACAAATGGCTATGATCTGGTACCATGTACCTGGATCAAAGCTTTCAGTCTAAATTCACCAAAGCCTGAAATTTAACAATTACTGAATGTCTACTGTATGTCAGGTAAAATTAAGTCTTTCTTTCTCTAGAAAACATGGTAACTTTTTGAAGGCATTACATGATCTATGCTGCTTAAGATTTTTTTTTTTTAAACCACTTATCAAATCAGTACTTGCTTATATACCCCTAACTCTTGCCTGACACAATAGACCAAAAGCTCAAAGGTCAGCAGCAGAGAAAAAATACAGTTCATACACACTACCTCTGGTAAGATAGCTTTTGTCAGCAGCTTGGATTTGCCTGTGGGCCCTATCTCTAAGTCCCAGGGGGTAGGGGTGATTCTAGTTCCATGACAAGATAGGAAAGACCAGAGAGAGGGAGACGGCCTACAGACTCCAAGGGGCCCAGGAGTCACAAGGAGCCAACCAGGCAAGAGAGCACCCAGCCCTTGGCCTCTTTCCCTAAATGCTCTTCCCCATCCTGCTGACCCAGACAGAATGTCAGGGCGGCTGCACGGTACACAAAGTCCTGCCCTGGGGTAGATGGGAGGTGAAACTTACAATCCAAGGTGAGCAGAAGGAACACAAATATAAAGAACTGCCCTCAAATACAGGTGCAATTATAAACACACCAAAAGTAGGCACCCTGGGAGATGCACAAACTCTAAGGACAATGAGCACGCAATCCAAAGCTGGAGCCAGGTGGGGGAGTGTGGGAAAGCCTTACCCAGCAAAGGCTTCCAGAGGAGAACCAGAGCCCAACCTTCGGCCGGCACCCACTACCGCTTCACCTGCTGCTGCTTGTTTTCTCATTCACTACAGCTTCCTGCTGTAATTCTCTAGAGATTCTCCATTCTCACACAGGAGCTGGAGTGTGAGTTTTACATTTGGTCAGAAGTACTCTTGAACTCACTTAAATTACCAATACAGTACAGTATATACTGTTGCCTGCATTCACTCCTTAAAGTAATAACATACCATATATAATAAAGAGGGCCATGGTGGGTAAAAAAAGATGCCTGTCTTTAAACAGGTGAATCATGAGCAACAAGGTCAGAGGTTCAGAGCATGAGGGGACCTGAGATCACCTGAGGGAAGGTAGAGAGGAGGCTCCTACTCACTGTGGGGCAGTGCTCATCAACTGGAACAACAAAGAGGCAAAAGTGAGTTCTCCTTCCCTATAGCTTTTTGTTTCTTTTTTTGTTTTTAGCTCATGTCACTGCTGTTAAATTCACATGATCAGGTCCATTATGTGTACAACATACACTTTATGTCCCTAACTAACCATGTACCTACCCTCATACCCTTGCCTGCATGCTCCTTCCCACAATGACACCCCTTAAACTGTCCTTTGTTATTTACCATTTCGTGTGTGTGTGTGTGTGTGTGTGTGTACGTACAGAAGGATGGGTGGGGAACCATGGATAAAAGTTACAGTGAGAAGATCTAGTCTTTCCAGTGCCACTTGCCCACACACAACCCCCAAGGATGGGGAAATGGAGAGAAACATGGATCAGTTGGTTCATGGCTTCTTTTTATAAACCTGTTTCATTTATAAACCACACAAATTTTCTTTACAGAGGCCATGTGTTTACAAGGCCAGGCTCAGCACCTGCCCTGGAGTTTACAATGTAAGGAGTCACATTACTCACCTAGTGTAACGTCTGTTAGAAACAAGATGTTGTTGGTTGAGCACCCAATGCTGCTTGCAATCTTTCGGTAACTCTCACTCTCCACTTTGTGTCCAATCTTGGTATCAAAGTGCCCATCAACAAGCTGCACACAGGGAAAGAAAAGACTAATGTTATAAATACACTTGCAACCCGACCCTTTGTCTCTCCTCCATTTGCTCTGAAATACGTTAACAATCATAATGATTTCGTCCCCTCAATAAATAATCCCTGAAAGTCTACTTAATAGAGAACTTTATGCAGGCTACAGAAAATAAAGTAGATTTTATAGAAATAAACATTTGGAAGAAAACTACCAATTCAATGTATATAAAATCATGTTACAATTTACTTGGTTTTCTTTGATTAGCATTAATTTTATATCCAAAATTTTTTAAAATATACATGCCCATGTTCCTTTGAAGAACTATTTGATAGATATTTGGGAAAGTACTTGAATGAAATAATATCAAAACTGTTAAAAAAAAATATACATGCCCGACTTTCTATCCTTAAAGCCCTACTTGCACTCAAATTACTTATTGGACTGGGTTTCACTCGTGATGACAGGTCCTAAACATTGTCCTTTTGATCCCAGAATGAACAGATTTCTCTAGCCTGCCTCATTATTAAGCTGCTACTTAACTTTCTCTGCTGCTGACCTTTGAGCTTTTGGTCTATTGTGTTAGGCAAGAGTTAAGAGGTATATAAGCAAGTACATTTTTATCCTTGAATTCAGTAAGTAACTATTGTGTATTATCTACTATCACCTTACTGTCTGTTCCATCAGAGAGAATAAAAGAGTAGCTTACATCTGTATTCAGAGGAGATACACGTATTAAAGGGTTTTATTCCTGATTTAATATTTGATTTAAACTAAGATAAAACACATGGAAGTACTAAAATGAGAATACAACATCTCCAAAGCCAAAGTGTTCTCTGTGCACAGTAGAGGCTCAATAAATATTTATTTAAAAGATAGCTGGCTGAGTGACCTACTGCATATCACTAAGTTCAGCCTGTATTCGGTGAGTTGGCATTTCTTTTTAAAGTCCTAAATGCGGGGCGCCTGGGTGGCTCAGTCGTTGGGCGTCTGCCTTCCACTCAGGTCATGGTCCCAGGGTCCTGGGATCGAGCCCCGCATCGGGCTCCCTGCTCGGCGGGAAGCCTGCTTCTCCCTCTCCCCCTCCCCCTGCTTGTGTCGTCTCTCTGTCAAATAAATAAATAAAATCTTAAGGAATTTTCTCTTCTACAAGAAAGGTAACAGGTGGCCTTAACATATCACCATTTAATAACACACCCAGTTCTCTTACAGAAGAATGAGGTTTCTGCTAAAACAAAATCTGCTCTCTCTCCAAAGTGCCAGAAACAAATGAATGTACCTTGCACTCTGTTGCGCTAAAGAAGTGTACGTGTGCATGTGTTTGGAGGGGGCACGGGCCACTATTGTACTGTTGCTCACCAGCTACTCGAAACAACCAAAAGAAGTGGGCCATTGGTTTTGTCGGAGTGGACATGAGCATGACAGCATGAGCATGTACATATATGTATATACATACATATATATATTCCTGCCCCCCCCCCATCCCGGACCTGCCAATGCAGCTGTGCTAGGAAGCACGGCCCAGGGAACTACACTTTGAACAAACTCCCCTGGTGATCGTTACTCACAACAGCTTAAGAACCTCCGATGCCAAGACTGGTACGACAGAAACATTTCACCCTTCCCTCGAATGCATTCCCTAGTTTATCCACTTCTCTTTACCACCTGCTTAGCATATATACATGTGGTGCTCTGAATGTTGACTTAGCTTACACCTATAGGATATTCCTTTAAGATTCATTCTTTCATGCTTTCACAGCATCAGAAAAACAGAGTAATCGGGTAACCTACCTCAAGAATATCTCCCTCTGTAGAATGCCCAAATAATAGCTTCTGGGCCTCTACACTCCCTGAAGAATAGATATACACCTTCATTCCAGCCTCTCTCCATTTCCGGACTGCTGGAACTACATCTTCGAAGAACCTAGAGGAAAGACCATCAAGTTCAAATGCAGGAATATGGTATCTAGCCTGATGAAAACCAGTCAAAATAGCTGTAACAAGTTTCTTTTATTTGAGCCCAAAGGGTCACCATGAGAAACACCTCCAAGAGACTGCAAACTCCTGCTGACCTAACAAGCTTGTCACTGGGACTCCAGAACCACAGCAGATTAGAAGCAGCAATGTAGGTGGAGAGAGCAGTTTTGGACAGGCAGCCACACTAGCGACAGTAAAAAGTGATTACAAATAAGGGATGAAATAAAGTGCTTTTTTAAATTCCCAAGGAACTCAAAAAAAGTAACAATTATGTAATCTTCGATGTAATTATGACAAGAAGAGGTTACATGATGTCCAGTGTGCCTTCAGAAAGCATGGAAATGCCTTTAAAAAGATTTGCTCCCAAACAATTACAAGAAAAACATCTGAGGGTTCAAAGCCACTCATACGTGACTAGCTAGAAAATGGAACTCCATTTCTTAAGAACTAAGAAAACCTAAAGTTTTAAAATATAGAAAAAAATTACCTAATAAAACAGTTAAGAGACTCGTACCATCTCACATCAGCTAATCGGCCAACAGTGTCTAGCTTTTCTGATTCCTGACATGAAGTCCTGCTTCCCAGTTCTACACCGCCTTCCATATTCGGTGGTGGAATTATCGCAGAAATAGGTGAAAAGCGAAGCACAAGGAACTTGGAATGTGGAACCAGTCATCTTTAAAAGATTAACTGGAAAATGTCAGGGAAGTCTCCTACTGGATAAAACAGCTTAATGGATTACGCTAATTGAAGGAAAGAGATCAACTAATTTGAAACCAGCACACATAATTGTGGGTTACTTTGTGCGTTATTTGCAATCATAGAAACAGGATTTTTCCACATTGAATCTGCAGATTGTTACCGTTCCAATTCAGGGCTTAGAAGTCTAAGGTAACTTATTTCAAGTCCCTGGTTTTATAATTACGGAAACCAGTCCAAGACAAGGAAGGACTAACTATAACTAGTTTGAGCGTCCTCTCTCGGCTCCACTCTTTAGTGTTTTATATAGTGAACTAGCGGATATTCCCAGATGATTGGCCTATCCTGATATTCTAATGCATCCTTTAAAAAGTGGAAGCCCGGGCGCCTGGGTGGCTCAGTTGGTTAAACGACTGCCTTCGGCTCAGGTCATGATCCTGGAGTCCCGGGATCGAGTCCCGCGTCGGGCTCCCTGCTCGGCAGGGAGTCTGCTTCTCCCTCTGACCCTCCCCCCTCTCATGTGCTCTCTCTCTCAGTCTCTCTCTCTCAAATAAATAAATAAAATCTTTAAAAAAAAAAAAAAAAAAGTGGAACCCCCCTGGGGTGCCTGGGTGGCTCAGTCAGTTAAGCATCTGACTTCAGCTCAGGTGATGATCTTAGGGTCCTGGGATTGAGCCCAGCAGTCAGGCTCCTCGCTCAGCGGGGAGTCGGCTTCTCCTCCCCCTTTGCCCTGCACGCGCTCTCTCTCTCTCTAAGAAATAAATAAAATCTTAAAAAAATATATGAAAAAGTGGAAGCCCCTTGTAAAGTACAAAAATAAAGGAATGGCATTTCATTCGACAGAAGAACAAAAGAAATACAGCAACTAGAAGTAGTCTTGGATCTTAGGGTGTACGTCAGGCAATGACTCAAAATCCTTAGTGGCAGGGTCTTATTAAGAATTTCTTAGCAGGGCGCCTGGCTGGCTCAGTCAGTAGAGCATGCGACACTTGATCTCAGGGTTGTAAATTTGAGCCCCACATTGGGTGTAGATTACTTAAAAATAGAATCTTTAAAAAAAAAAAAAAAATTCCTCAGCAATGCAAGACTCACGAGTCTTCCTTCGGCAGGAAGGCTCTCAGGAACACCACAGCCCAGACTCAGATGGTCTGTGGAAGTTGTTGTATCAGCACAGGACAGAGCAGTACTGCTGACACTCTGAGTAACCCCAAAATATGTAACTAATCTCAAAGCATTCTTCCTTCTCTAGCAGAGCAGAAAGCAGGTAACCTAACAGCTCTGAGAAGCAGCCCAACAGGACTGTCTGCTAAAGATCAAGTATGACTGAGCTCAAAGAAGTCACCATTTTCTGGGAAGCTGTTTTAAACTGGGATAAAAGTCCTCAACCATCCCACAAAGCCAGGCATGCTGCTCTGGGGAACTTAGCTGGGTGGAATGCTTTATCCCGGCTTTGAAAAAACAAAACAAACACTTGCTCGTTAAGATAAAAAGAATTGGGGCACCTGAGTGGCTCAGTTGGTTTAAGTGTCTGCCTTCGGCTCAGGTCATGATTCTGGAGTCCTGGGATCGAGCCTCACATCGGGCTCCCTGCTCAGCGGGGAGCCTGCTTCTCCCTCTCCCCCTGCCTACCCCTCGTTCTCTCTCATGCTCTCTCTCAAATAGATAAATAAATTCTTTAAAAATATAAAATAAAATAAAAAGAATGTTGATTTTATCTATTTGACTAATCACACAACTAACACTAATCACACAGAGAGAGGACCAGTGGAAAATGTACTGGGTTTCGGGGCTGGTGAAATGTTTGAGCTCCTTGAGCAGCTACATACTCGGCTTTCATGCGCCCAGCTGCGAATGCCGCCCTCCACATGTGGCCCTGCAGCTGTTTCAGCGCCGTGGTCTTCCGGTCCAGAGACATCTGCCAGCACACGTTATCCACCACGGCCTGGATCATCTGCTGCAGGTCATCTCCTCCATTCCCAGATGAGGCAGGGATGGGAACAGCCCCATCCAGGTGGGCATCCTCTTCAGCCTTTAAGTCATAAACAACATGAAGTTTGTTTCTTATTTTAATTTTTAAAAAGATCACTTAAAATGAGACATAAAAACCCAGCGGACCAACTTTCTCCAACTATCATTGGCACCCAGCACTGTTACAAATTCAAGTATCTTACACTCTGGGGCTGATATGAATGATTCCTAAAGGAAAGTGGATTATAATTAATAAATTCGCATCACCTTTCCTATATTGCTAAAGCTGAAATTTAAATGGAGAGACACGGTGTACATGAGGAGAGAGACAGCATATAATGATAAAATGATATAGTGGGACCAGTGTGTCGATTCACTTACAGGGATCAACAAACCAGGACTTCAGTTAAATCTGATCATTTTCTCGGCACTATAATGAACCGAGGAAGAAACAAAGAAAATGTCAACAAAATCTGTTTATGCCTGGAATTCAACAAAAACAAGCTAGCAAAACAATGCCTGGGGTTGGTTCTTTTTCAGTATCTTGCAGTTTTCCTCATCTTGCCCCCAAAACCTAACAGCTACTTAAAACAATGACTCTGTGATGAAGCATATGTCCAATTTCTAAAGACCAATGATATACATACTATAGAGGGGGAATATATAATTTCAACAAGAGTTGAGACAACAGAAAGCTGAGGGAGGGGAGTGTTTCAGACTAACCCGGAGTTATCTAGAACATTTAACAAACCCAAATACCCCATGGCCCAAAGGCTTTATTTCCGATCCCAACTCCCAACCATTAAAACATTTCTAGAGCGTTCCACATCGTCCGATGTAGAAAACAAACTAGAAAATAACTGTCAGAGTTCGCCCTGCACAGTGTGAAAGATCTTTGCCACTGAAGCAATGTGAAGAAGAAAACGAATAGGAGTTCTACAGCACAGAATGCGGAAGGAAAAACGGACTGTAAACCAGGCAGAGAACAGAGTAGAATAGCACAGGAGACAAAGATGGGCCTAGTTGTGAGCGGGGTGCGAGGTCTACGGGGCTGTGTGGAGGTGAGGCCCCAGGAGCGCTGTGCAGGGGGCAGAAGAGATTAGAGAATCACTGGGAGACATTAATGAAAAATGTGGTAAGATGGCACCAAAATCTCTTGCACACTACCCAGAAAAAGCTTAGTTTTAAAAATACATGACGGGGCACCTGTGTAGCTCAGTCGTTAAGCGTCTGCCTTCGGCTCAGGTCATGACCCCAGTGTGCTGGGATCGAGCGGGCATCGGGCTCCCTGCTCAGTGGGGATCTGCTTCTCCCTCCCCAACTCCCCGTGTGTGTTCCCTCTCTCGCTGTCTCAATGTCAAATAAATAAATAAAATCTTAAAAAAATAATATAATAAACTTAAAAAAATACATGACATTTTTATGCGATAAAAACAACTCCAGTGAGAGGCAACTATAGAGACAATAAACTGCCATGATCTGGCCATTTAATTATGTTCTGTGAATTCCTAAGCAAGTCACTGCAAAGTCCAAGCACCGTGAATCCAGAGCGCTTATTTTGCAGTACGTTCAGAGCACATCTGTCTCTGGGCATCCTCAATTCTCAGATACTTGGGAATGTGGAAGCAATGGAAGAGCAATGTCCCAACCTGTTTCCTCAAAAGATTGACATCCTGCTGGCACTCCTCTTCTTCCCAATGTGTCTGAAGATACTCTTTAACATTTTCTCTGATGTAAGGAAATAAAATGTCCTGGATAAACAAGTTAAAAAACAAACAAGAATTAGCTTGTCATTGGCATGAGATCAAGTTCTTCAACAATCTCACCTCTGCTAACTGTAGCAAGTAAGCCACTGAAACCTACATGGAAAATATGAAAATTTCTATTGTGGCTATAGAAACAAAGACCAAGAAACAAATGAACTAGGTCAAGAGTCAGCCAACTATGGCCCACGGGCCAAAGCCAGACTGACATCTCCTGTTTTTGTAAATGAAGATTTTTTGTTTTTGTTTTTTAAGTAAGCTCTACACCCAATGTGGGGCTTGAACTCACAACCCAGAGATCAAGAATCACACGCTCTACCAACTGAGCCAGCCAGGTACTCCCTGTAAATGAAGTTTTACTGGAAATGGCCACACTCATTTGATTATAGCGTCAGAGGCTACTTCTGGGCCACAGTGGTAGAGTATTTGTAACCAAGATCATATGGTCCGCAAAGTCTAAACATTTACTGTTCAGCTCTTTACAGAGAGTCCGCTGACTCCTAAACTAGATTGCTAGACCACAGGTCCGTGAGGGCAGGGATCAAGTTTATGTTGCTCACGGCTATATCCCTGATACACACACAGTACTTGGGACTTGCACACAACTCAAATATCTGCTGAGAGAGTGGTGTCCATGCATGACAAATGCTTAAAAATTTTTTTTGATCACCGTGATTCTTGGTAATCAGACTCCCTATAGAACACCCTATATGAGAGTGATGGGCAAGACAATTCAAAGATAAATACCCTGTCAATAATCCATACATTGGCAAGGTGATTTCTCTTAGGTCAAAATTTGTATTTACTTACAATTGAGCATATGTATCTTTTCAAATCAAATGAGGCACATTCAATAATTTTTTTAGCGTCTACAAGTGGGGCATGCAAAAGGGAATTGAAAAGACAAAATATATCAGAGTCCCTTTTCTCAATAAGCTTAAGAATTTAGTGGGGAGACAGGAGGATGGCAGGCAAACCAAGACTTGCAACACGGTGCAATGGGTGAGACAAGCAGAGTAGGAGCAGAATGCTGTACAAATCCAGAGAATGACGACTCTGCAACAGTCTCAGCAATTACCTGTCTAAAAAAGCCAGAAAATGAATATATGCTAGGAGTGTAGACCCCAAGTATACAACTCAGAGGAGGTCTTCCATTTTAAGGAAAATTCTATAATCAAGTTGAACTCAAGAAGTCTGTTTATTTATAAACTCATTCACTCATTTAATTATTCAAATATTTACTGAACGCCCTTTATAATTTCCAGTTAGAAGATAAATAAGTCACGGGGACATAAAGTATAGCATAGGGCATACAGTCAAGAACACTGTAATAACTTCGTATAGTTATGGATGGTAATTAAGTTTATTGTGGTGATCATTTCCTAATGTATATAAATGTCCAATAACTATGCTGGCACACATGAAACTAATATAATACTGTGTGTCAACTATATTTCAACAAAAAAAGATAAATAAATAAATAGTAGGGCTGAAGCATTTACCTCTCTTCATAACACGTTATTCAAGTTTCACCTGCCCTAGTAAAAATAAAGAAGTCATTCAATTTTGCTTGTTCTCATGTGGCATTCCAGTAAGTAATGGATCATTCAGCAGACTCAAAAGCATACAGTGTAATCAAGCAAACTGTTCAGCGTACTTGACAGAACAGCCTTGTTCGAGCTCAATAAAAACTCATTCCTGATCTCAAAGAAGGAAAATGAAGAGCTGAGATTGACAGCTTGCTGTTTGTGCAAGATTCCTTTTACCATACTGCTATACTTCTGCTTTTCTTTAAAGACTGGGTTTTCCCATTGTGCCCTTCTTTATCCTTCATCTACTTCTCTCTCCCCCTCTCATGCACTGTGGTAGACTGCAAGCTGGCCTCCCCACTCAAGAATGCTCTTGGAGAAGATAGAGTAAACCTGAAGGTTTTGTGCACACACATCCAATCCTCTCCTAGACATGTACCATAGATAAACTCTAATAGATGTGCACAAAGAGGAAAGTAAAAAAATGTTTATTGCAATACTGCAATACTACTAAAATACTACATTTTACAACAAAATCAATGGAAGCAACCTAAATCTTCATCAGCTAGAAAATAAGCTCGGGTATATTCATTCATACTCTAAAACAATATATAGCAGTTAGGGGCGCTTGGGTGGCTCAGTCTTTAAGCATCTGCCTTCGGCTCAGGTCATGGTCCCAGGGTCCTGGGATGAAGCCCCGCATCGCATCGGGCTCCCTCCCTGCTCAGCAGGAAGCCTGCTTCACCCTCTCCCACTCCCCCTGCTTGTGTTCCTGCTCTCGCTATCTCTGCCAAATAAATAAAATCTTTAAAAAATATATATATACATATATATAGCAGTTAAAAATCAGAGCACTTAAATTATAAACATGAATATAAACTCTAACATATAAATAAAACTCTAACACAAAATGAGAGGTACTCAAGAGTCTCAGTTCTATCTGTAATGTTTTATTTCTTTAAGATCTGAAACAAAATAGTATAAAATCTAATAAGCTTTGTGGGAGGTGCATGGTAATTATATTAATCCTTATTCTTCCTTATTTAAAATGTTTCACAATTAAAAAACAAGTCAACTTTGATCCCTCATCCTCTACCTGCTTCTTTCGCACTTGATCATCCTCCTCTAATGTCCTGTCTCCATTATTCCCCAATTCTCAAACTGGAAATATTCCTGGGGGAAAACTGTTGGTTAGATTCAGGGCCTCCCAATAACTGAATAGCTGAAGTACTCAAAAGGTATAAAAACGGATGCAATGCTATACTACTTTGTGCTTCACAAAGCCCAATTTCCTAATCCAGCTTTACTGGTCTCAAGAACAATTTATGAAGGGCCTGTGATTCCCGGGAGCCCAAGTGCTTAACTTCTGTGGGAGAAGAAATGACTCTGGGCAGCATGCCAGGCCGGGGTCTTACCTCTCTGCCTTTTATTGCTATGTTCAACTTATCCTCTCTGAGCCTCAGTTTTCTCATCTGCTAAATGGGAATGATAATACCGAGCAAGGTCACTGTAGTAATTAGAGATACATAGATAAATAGATAGGTAGGTAGATAGATAGGACCTAGACCTTATCACTTACATTCTCCATCACAGAAAACATTTAAACTGGGCAAGGATCACCTTTGACCCAAATTTAGTGACAAATAATAGCAGAGAAGTTCCCAGAGGATAAATCAAAGCACAATGAACTCACATTCAACTTTTACTGAGGACACACTGAGTGCCAGATTCTTCTGATAACAGAGTTATGAACCACAGCCTCTCTCCTCAGAGGACTCACAGAAATAAAGGGTGCAAGGTTTCAAACAATTCTGAACTTTTAGGAAAAGCTTTAAAAGTTAGAGATTACTTCAGAATTCCTGATCATCTAATTTGCCCCTTTCCTCTAGATATAAAACTCCCCTGTGCACTGAGTAAACACACAAGCTAGGCCACGAAGGCAGAACTTAGTATATAACACATGGAATATCAAGACTACCTGGGGTAGACATATTAGCAGACTTCTATTTTAGTGCAGTGTTACTGCATCATATAAAGGTACATGGGCAAATAACTAAATTATGAAGATTTTATCCTATTCTTTCAACATACTTTTTGAGCAACCTATTTTATAAAATAAATGAAATGCCTTCAAGTTGCTTATTTTTTAAAAAGCCAGTAATTATATGAATTACATGTGTTACAATATCATATAAGAATGCTCTAAAAAAAAGAGTTGGTAAAGCTAGTGCTTATTGCCCAACACTGCCCACTGAACATTTTCAGGCTTTAAAAGTAATTCCAGAAATAAGTGTGATGACAAATGTTTTAACTTCAGTCATAATCCATTTATGGGTAATTTCAGAATACTACAGTATGAAAAAAATGCTGCAATAAACCCAGGGTTCTATAAACATGTGAAATATGTTTAGTCCACCAGGCACCTAAGGGGCTGTTGTGGTTTAGTAGTACACATAACAAAAGGCCACAGAACTAAATAAGAGTATTTGTCTCTCAGGGGACTATGATTAAGTTCCACTATAACTGCTGGAGGGGATACTATGCAAGCAGCAATTTATATTACTCCATGCAGCTCAACAGTAGCTTTCTGAAAGAGCTCCATTAAGGCTCCTTCAGGGCCACAACATTTCTGAACATCTAATTAAACAAGTTGCCTCATTAATGTTTAGAAGTCCAAATATGGATTTGCTTTATGGTCAAGTGGTTGTTTCAATAAAAAGGTCACAGAATCAATAAGAATTAGTCGCTATAATGTTTACTCAAGTCTCCTTTGAGGAAAATGGATAATAAAAAGGTAATGGGTAATACTTAAGAGTATAGCTATTTAAAGGAACTATTTTAAAAGCCTTCCAATGAACCACACAGTGCAACAAATGATTTAAAGTATTTGAGAACTTAAACTTTTTCAGCCAGGGGTGTCTGGCTGGCTCAGTCAGTAGAGCACGCAACTCTTAATCTCAGGGTTGTGAGTTCAAGCCCCACACTGGGCATGGAGCCTACTTAAAATAAAAATAAGGAGCGCCTGGGTGGCTCAGTTGGTTAAGCATCTGCCTTCGGCTCAGGTCATGATCCCGGGGTCCTGGGATTGAGCCCCACGTCAGGCTCCCTGCTCAGCAGGGAGTCTGCTTCTCTGTCTCTGCTGCTCCCCCTGCTTATGCTCTCACTCTCACTCTCTGGCAAATAAATAAAATCTTTAAAAATAAAATATTTTTTTAAAATAAAAATAAATCTTTTTCAGCCAGAAAATTAAACAACACAAAGGCAATACTGGTGGACTACTATTTTTCTATTCATCTCAGAAGATAAAAAGCAAAGGAAAATTAAGTGGGTTGATGGGTCTTAGAAACAAATCATTCTCGGGGTGCCTGGGTGGCTCAGTCAGTTAAGCAGCTGCCTTCGGCTCAGGTCATGATCCTAGGGTCCTGGGATCAAGCCCCACATCGGGCTCCCTGCTCAGCG